TTGCATCCCGCGATGAAACGAAATAAACGATGTTTTATTATTTGTTTGGATATTTCATGTCGACAAGGTAAATAAAACATCTCATTTAATAAAACTGGTTCATTTTTATTTTCGAGACGGGGAGAATTTGCTCTTCATGTGCGAGACAGTCCACAGAAGTGTCGCTGGCCGGCTGGGAATCGATAGTATACCGGGGGTAGTACCGATCGGAAACAAGCTAGTTTTTCATTTCAAACTTTGAATGAAACTGTTTTAATTTGTTGTTAAAATCTTTCCAGTCTCTAGACGTTACATTCAGATGATATTCAACTTTTTTTTTTTTACTTTTTCGCAACTTCACAAAGTTGCGATGGTACCCCTGTCTATTAGCCCTAAAGATTGCGTACTCGGTAATCTGAACGTAACATATGACCACTTTCCTGTTAGCGATTCGCAAGTAGCTATTGTCTTTTTGCTGAGACAGTCTGATGGAAATGTTGGTGGTCGTTATACAAAGGTTAAAGTGTGAATAGGTCTACAATAGGGTGGTCGCTGGTCGCGTTGGACAGGTGGTCGCTATATCCAGTGTCTTTAACGTGTAAATTGCGAAGGGACTGTACTAAGGTGGTCGCTATGAGCAGGTGGCCGCTCTGCACAGGTGGTCGTTAACACAGGTTTGACTGTACAATGCAACAGAAGGGATGCGGTTTCTATTAGAGCATATACACATATGAGAAATGGTGAATTTTTGATTCTAAATTGTTCAAAAAGATTGAGTTTGACTTCTATTAGAGATGCGGCTTCTAATACAGATTTTACAGTAATACACTGACTGTTATAACTGCCATACATACCTAATGTATACAGATGTGTCTGCTTATCATTGAACATATTACTGATGTCACCACTAGGTTTCTGAGCATGTTTCTCCTACAAAATAATGAATGAAAACAGATTGATATCATATACACAGAGAACGTTTTACAATGCAAAGTATTATGTTACTACTGAAGATAGTTACAAATATCTTTAATATTAAAGCACATGTAGAGTTGTATGCCATATAATGTGAACTAAGAGTAAGACTCACCTCATATTCTCCTGTGATTGGATTTTTGTGTCTAAAGATGAAATGAAGCTTAAAAAAAAACAAAAATCACATAATTTATTAGATTAACAAAATAAATATGAACAAAACTATAAGTATCCAAAGTTGGTTATCAATAAAAACAATAGACCCAATTAGGGCTGGACTAATTACATGTAGTCAAAATGCAAAAAAAAAAAAAAAAAAACACATTTAAAAACATTACAAATTCTAGATATTTCACCAAACATGATGTTCTATCAAATGAATGACAAAGAGCAAATAAAAAAAAAGGCTGCCGCTACCTGAACTTATTTTTATTGAAATGATTTGTGAGATCCATTGAGCTTAAACTCCTACTACGGTCACCATTTTTGAGTTGAAAATTGATCAAATTACAAAAACTAATCCAGGTACTCCAACTTTTTTTTCCTCAGACCACTAATTCAGCAATAGCAGTGTGGTTATGAAGGAGGAATGATGTACATACCTTAGCATCCTGGCCGCACTTATCGGGTCCAAACATGATAGTATAAGGAGTCTTGTCATGAAATTCCGACTACAATACAAGAACAAAATCAAATGACACGAACAATTAATATATTAATTGAAATGTGACAACTGCAATTTTATTTACATACACTGTGATGAACAAACAGCTACAAATAATCTTTATGAGTTGTCTCTATGTTTGAATTTCCCAAGTAATAGAAAACCATTCACTGCATTAAATATTCTAGGACAAAATTAACCTGTAGATGCTCATCTAATGTAATTCACCTACAATCAGTAAACCATTATAATTGGAGACATTGCTTTAAAAGCCAGTTTCGGAATTTCCTTACTGTTTTCAACTTGTACATTCCACGCTAAGCATGGATGTCAAAACCATAGGGTGTTAGCCAGCCACCAGTCAAGCCACCAAACGAACTAACAACTTTGATTTGGGACTGGCAACTTTTTTTCCTGTTTTTTTCTATTGTTCTTTTTACCAAAATATTTTCAAAACCATCTACATTTTTCATGAAGTTGAATTGTTTTGGCAATTGCAAATTCCTGGCTAATAGCCTGGTCAACCACCACATGACATAACTCTTAGCTTTGAGGGCATCAATATTTCTTACACTGCATTGGCTTTTCTAAGCACCATCTTTGAAACAAAATGCCAGCACATGACATAAAATGAAACACTTTTCAGATACACTCTTGTAATGTACTGTCATGGTGGCCACCAAGTTTCTAGATTGCCCTACTCTCAGAAACTATTCTGAACTCTACTCACCAGCTTCAACTTCTTGTCTCCAGAAAGTAACTTGATGTAAGCACCACCGCATTCTTGACCATTCTGGAACTTTACCTCGTACTGTACAATGAGTGGATCGTCTTCAAAAACAAATGGCTTGCTGAGAGGTGCACTGATGGCATGATGTTTGGCCCGTGACTAGAACATAAACATTATAATGCATTTTGAATCACCACCTCGGCTTTCAAATTTTGAATTTGAATTTTTAAAATGAATTCAATCACAAGTCTATTCAGATCAAAGTATTTGTGACAATGGTGTATAAAATATGTTAGCACATCCACCAACATTTGTATGCACGACAACTATGGGATAGACATTGAAATTACATCACCTATGACCCACTGGTGCAATCCTATGGATTACTGTGAAAGACTTTACTTTAGCTGGAATATATTTTTGCTGAAAAGACTTTTTGCATGTTTTGTATGGAGTTTATTTTCACTGATTTTTGATGAGTTGAAGGTAAAACAGGAAAAAATGTATATTCGCTGGAATTTATTTTCACTGAATAATCCCTTCAGCAAAAAATAGGCATAATTAATTCCAAGTGAAAAAAAAGTCCATAACAGTACAAAGCCACGTTTTAGCCCAGAAATTGAGTCACTTATATAATGAATCAACAATGCAAACACAGACAAAATACACACAAGAAGAAGTGACTAGAGAATGAAGATGGAGAACTCAGAGCTGCATGTACATGTATTGTTTTTACATTGAATGAAATGCATGAAATATTACGTACCTTCAATACTAATCCCAAGTCACCAACTAGTGGCTGTTTCTCTGGCTCCTCTAAAGCCCATTTACCATCATACTTGGCAATGTCTTCATCTACGCCATCTTTCTTGGCCTGAGAAACCACCCAGCTGAAAAGAAAGCAGGCAAGCAGGATATTACAAACAGGGAGCACCATGGAGGATCTTCCTTGCTAGTGAAACAATACTAGGTAACAAATATACTTAGACATCAGAGACACACTATACATACAGTAAAACGGTAGGATTCTATGTTCTCTTGTGAAATTAAAGCAGCTATTAGTAGAGGTACAATGTACATCCAATGAACACAAGAATTAAACACTTACGTTTTTTTGAAATCATCAACACTCAAAAAAGCATCATAGAAATGGGGACTTCCGCTTGGTTTAGGGGGTACGTAGATGGATTCTGTAGTTTCTGTTTTCGTGTCCTCTGTATCTATATCATCTTGGGCACCAGCAAACGCTGAAAACAGCACCAGTGCTAGTAAAGCTAGCAATCCGGATTTTACCATTGTTGATTTGTTTTTATCTGCAATATAACATAAACAGAAACAGACATATTACATGTACTACAAATGTATTAATTTAGCTGAACATGCTTTCCAAATGTAGAGCAATAGGCATCATTAAATATATAACTGTTCTTATATCCTCTTGCTAAGTTTATGTTTGGTTTCCCCTTTGAACATGTACTTGGCTTGACATTTAGTGTGGTTGATATAGACAAGGTTACAGGTGTGGCATTATATTTGCCTGGTAATTTGCATTTTTTTTTTTAAATTAATTGTCTAACTCTTTAACATTAAGCAAAAAAAAAAAACACTTCCCTGTATGGTAAGCTAATTAATATTTCACAAATATATATCTGGAAGGTACTGGTCAAGAGATAGTTTAAATGAGTCAACAATAACTAGCTTTGTTACATGTAGATTTTTTTTCTTTGCTGAGGCGTCAATATATTACATGCAATCATATTAAACCTATTTTTTTTTTAAATTCTGAACGAATGAATAATGGTATGCAAATTAGCCACAACACTGATAGACATTCTATATATAGATTTAAACAATTTTGGTTCCAGTGGAATAAAATGGTAATCGTACAGCCAGAAGTTCATTTAAATCAAGAGGACCCACGATACTGTTTAGTGGGTAGCCAATGACAAAATGTAAATACAAAATTGTAGAAATAAATCTATTACGGAACAGAATTAATATTGTAAAACATGGCTTTTCAAATGTACAATCAGAGAGAATAGATTGGTTGAAATGTAAGCAGGTTATTTTAACTACATGTAGTAATCCAGTCACTTTGCATTTCCAATATTTCAGCACAAAATCTGTTCTCATATAATGAGATCAATTCATACACTGAACAAAATACAATGGAATAACGCATTTTCCTTTTAATTAAACCGGCATACCTAAGATGTTGGATTAACATGTACAATGAAGTCCTGCCGACGGTGAGTAGTCTTGCACAAGACGAAGTTCGTTTTCAAATGTGTGAATATTGGTCTGAGTATTATAATGTAGTAAATCTCGAAGAAAAAAAGCCAGATAATCTCGTTTAGTTAGAAGTATACGTGAGGATCTGATCAAGCCGAAGCTTTAATGACGCGGCGAGCGGCTGAACACTGAAGTACACTGATCTTAAAAAAAATGCACCACAATTCCCGATCAACGCTTTGTAGATATTGTATTAGTAATGATATAAATAACACCGATCAGCAACAATTATACACAGTATGTAACTCACCGTTCCCACGACGATAATACAATAAATTCGGTCAGAGATCCGATCAGATGTATGACCAGCAAGCCGGGGATAGCAAACAACGTGGACGCTCCTTACTGGTGAACGGGACAATGAACATATTCAAGAATTTACAGCACGTACTTTCGATGACCTACTTTGCTGTTCATGAATAAACACAGCCTAACATTGGATATTAACTGCAGCGAATAAGGGTAATTATTAAACTCTAATATTGTAATTACGCCGTTGCATAATATGACATTCGATAAACTTTTCATGTGCAGGTTTTTGTCGAAAATATAATCTGTAAACATATGGATTGGTATAAGTATGAGGGCGCTTTTCTCAATGCGATCAATACAGGCGAGTCATGGTTTTAAATGATCGTGACAAGTCAACACATGCACATACATACATACATACCACCGGCATACGACTGAATTGAAGTTTTAATTGCCTCAACGAAATTCCAAAATACTAGAGTTCTGTCGTGAACGATATTCTCTTTGTCCACATACTGTTGTGATACAGTTCGATTATTAAATTGGTTGTATGATTTAAATTGAATGAATGATTTTGGAATTTACAGTCCAAATATAATGGTACGACATGTTTGATAAACATATATACAGCACAACTTAGTACATGTAACAGTTACAAGCAAACTAAATACACACTCAGTAAAGAAATCACACATTTCGAACAAAATGCACGTAACACTCCTGCAATGAATACAGAATTAAACGAGAATAAGGAGTTAAGTAATAATCCTGGTTCAACTGAAAACGAAACTAAAGGGGACGTAATCAGGCTCCGGTACAAAATCCTGAATGAGAACGATTCGCCAATATTTCTTTCTTTCAATTTTATGGAAATATGTAAATTTGCAATGTAAATTGCTTTTAAGGTAGCGAGAGGGGAAAAACTAGAAAAAAAAAAAACTTTTATCTAAAAATCACGGATTATGCAACCTTATATTGTGTACTTTCTTTATTTTTGGTCCGAATTTACAGTGCGCGATGCATTTCTTGAGTAATTTCAATTTATTCCCGGAAACTTAGTTGTAGGTGAACATGTCCTTCCTGCATTTACATATCATGTTGAGTGACGGACTGAAGACAAAGGATTTAATTTGCATACTGATTTGTTGACCATCCAGCTTTATTATATCTTGTGTAATCTATAAGAAGTGTCTGTTACGCGATTGAAGCACAGATAAACATTACGCTATCATATTCAAGCTTTTCTCGGTGTTTTAATAACCTAATATATCATGGGAAGGAGTTCTAAGATGAAAAAAACCTGACCGCCGACAAATGTCCGACACCGTTAAAAGATATCTAAATAAAAGTGACCTGGGCTCATATTATAGTCAGCCCGCAAAGTGGAATCAAAAATGTAACTCCGTGACTGACATTTTTCCTGCGTCAAAAAAGAATGGACATTCTTTTGATGTGAATCGTAAGCTGGTGATCGCGGCTCGTGGCATTGGAAAGGGTTGTCGCGCAATGCGTAAATTTAGTAGCTATATGGGATTACCGCCTC